AGTTGCTGAGATTGAGAAACACTGGTCTACACTGACTAACGGTGGCCCTTGAGGTTTCAGAAGGGCTTTTCCCAGGCCTACCTGGATATGCTGGGAATTGAACTAGGACTTTCTGCATGCAAAGCAGGTACTCTGTCTCTGAATTAGTTTTGGATCTGACCTTGCCTACTTAATTCTATGGCTTGCTGAAGTTCCTCCTTTCAACCCCATAGCTTGACTTGTCCTCCTGCTAACACGGGGGTATACTGGTATGACCTTTGCTAAATAAGGCCCCAGATTGGGCTTCTTCTACACCAAGTAAGTAAAAGCATCCCATACTGCCCCAGCCTTCCTCTTTTTAACTCACTCATGGAACCACCAACGTTCTACATGTTCTTCACTTTGCTCCAGCAGCTGGTGGCAGGCAAAATCTGTCGTGGAACACACACCTTCCAATACTTCCAGCAAACGTGTCTCACTAGAGGGGAGAAAGAGACTGCATGAGCACTGAAGGAGTTGGACAAGTCAAGGCAGATTCCTGCTCCAGAAGGTCTGCCTTGCCCTCTTGACCAAAACAACCCTTTGCTATCCCTCTAAGCTATCTTTTGTCCAACCAACCATTCAGAAATCTCTCTATTGACCCTTCACATGGCAAGTTGGTTGATCTTCATATTCATTCTCAAAATTTAATCCAGATATTCTCTGTGCAAGCTGCCAGTCTCTAATACTTTCCTTCCTCCCCAGAGTCAAGTCAGGAGCTGGCAAAATGATAGACAAGTGACTCTGGGGATGCTGTAAGCAACAGCTGTGAAAGCATGGAACAAACATGAAAGGTGTTTGTCAAGCTGGAGAGCGTTTCCTTAACTAATTGTTGCAGTGATCAGCCTCTCACTGCAGCTCTATTTTATGAAGAAAAAAAGGATGGAAAGATGTAATGTATCTTTAGCAGTTATTTAAATTATTTTTTTCTATTAAAAAAAGCAAGCTTTCAAGTTCACCAAAATTCACACAATGGATAATTAAAAAGAAAAAAGGTAACGAAAAGGAGGCATGGGGAATGTCACAGTAGAATGGACTGTATGGAGTGCACATGAGGAATTCCAGATTTGATTATCTATACAGAAAACACCCCAGCTAACAAATGATATCACAGAGAAAAATTACACCCTAGATGTGTGCTCATTTTCTAATTTAAGACCGGTAGAAATGAAATCTACTTGCAGGGGTACAATCCAATCCATTAACTCAGCTCTATACCATTTTTCTATCAGTCATTCTCCAAAAGTATTGGAACGACAACTCCCATAATTCCCAGCCAGCCCATACCCTTTTCCCACCTGGGAATTCTGGTAAATGCTGGAGGGTATAAATTTGGAGATGGCTAAGCTCCATTTATGTCCTGCCACATGATTCATCACTACACAACCACATATATGTTTACTCAGAGATAAATCTTATGTTCACTGACATTTCCTTTTAGGTAAGTGAGCACAACACCCCGTTACAGGATTTATGATAAGTTAAGTTGGGCTATGCAAAGAAATAACCCAGCTTGATGATCAGATGTGCTGAATTTAAAACGGGCTCATTCTTTATTGTTAAGCTATCCCCAAATGGTCTGATATTCTTAATAACAGGATCAATTCCTGTGCCTATTAAGGGAGAAAAAGCAATTTTTCCCTTCACCCATCAATTTCAAGATCAGCTAATGCAATCCTTAATGGCCCACTGAGGTGATGATCACTGCCAGAAAATTCAGAATTATGGCCGTCATAAGGAATGCTGAGAACTGTTGTTCAATAACATTTGGAAAGATAAACATTCCCTATTTCTGATCCAAAGTAAAGGATTTAATAATTCCATATTTCCTTGACATGATTACTTGCTTTATTTTTTTCCTCCTCATCTCTCAAGGAGAAAATAAATGGCTTGTACTGTCTGCATTCTGAATCCAAAGAGGCAGGATTCTGCACTCAGAATAAAATATAGGTGATCTTTTTCCCCCAGCAGGGACTGGAAAGTCCTAAAGCAGAGAAATACGTCTACACTGCCAAAGAAATAGACCAAGCATTACCAAGAGCTGGAGCAGTTAAAAGCTGCCCTACTTTATCATCTGATTAATGAAAACTCTTCTAGAGCGAAAGCTTGTTTTATAAGCGTTGACCTTATTGTAAACTCACTACTGAGAACTGCTCTGGTGTACAGGAAGGATGAAGACTGACTTAACAGACTGAAGATCAATTATTGAATATCCTCCACCAAAATGTGGAGGATATTTAGAGTCAGAACTAAAATGACAGACATGGAAACAAGCAAATAAAATGCTGGAATCTTCTGCATCTATGCTTAACAACAACATGGGCACTCATACATTTCTTTGCTCGTTTGTTATTGTCATTAACAGTAAAAAAGAAAGTTCTATGAACATTTTTAAAAAAACTAATAAGTATGAAAAACACAGGCAAGTGTCTTGATGACAAAGGAGGAGGAACCCAATCGACACTTGCAGAAACATTTTTTGATGATTCTCCTACGTAGCTTTCTCAGCTAATAGAAGAGGTGGAACTGAATGACTTCTGTTCAGCTTCTACACATTACAACTGCCTTCTCTCTAAAAGAATAAACTGAGGCTTTAAGACAGGTCACACCATTGTTCAGCTTCCAGCTGCAATAAGGATTCTGGTCAACTGGGGTACTGTCAGAATTACCAAAACAACATTTAAAATCAAGCAACTATATAAGTTGTCATAGCCTTGTTTTTTTCTAAGAGACTTCATCTGGCACGGATATCATAGCCCACATCTTGAGGTAGGACAAGGCCCATCTTGTTGGACTTTATGTGATCAGGATACTAGTAACAGGTTGCTACTTCCCAGCAAGGCTGCTGGTATGGCGCGGTCGGCAGTATCGGCATCTCACCAATGGCCTGATGCAGCCCAGCCTTCAAATCACCTGTTGGCATATTTTGCAAGCTTCTCTTCTTCCCAGGCTGTGTTCCCGCCGCCGAAGTTCTCTCGCTGTGTCCGCTCCAGACCCTGAGAAGGCAGGACAAGCCTCACAGCAAAGCCAGCGCTGATTTTCTCACCCCACCCCACCTCAGCACAGCAGCCCTTGACCCCATGCAACACAAACTGAATATCTCCATTGCTGCTTCCCGCTCCTCCCCCTCTACACAGCTCCACACATCTCTCAGCAGCTCTTGCTCCAGCACAATCCCCCCCCCCCACAAACCCTGTTTTGAGACTGGAGCAAGGGGCAGACAAATGCCTAGCAATCCCAGCTAAATGCTAGCACGTATCCACTTTGCATTAATCATGATTACACACACCCAGCCCCCTCTGGAGACCCTTTCTAGCCTCTCACCTTATTGAAGTTGTTGGCAAGATCTTGACAAGTCTGGCAGGTTTCTTGCTGGGAACCACCTGAGCTTGGCATCCAATGGAATAGAAAGAGAAAGGAGAACAGAGCAGGTCGGACCTTCATCCTGAAAAAAGCCATCTTCAGGCCAGGAACAAGACTGGAAGAAAGAGAAAGAGTTGTGAGACCAACAGGAGTATTTGAGAAGCTGATGGAGCGAGAGACTCCTAGGCAATGGTCACGTGGCAACTCTGGTTAAAGACTATTCTGGGTAACCTCCACATCTGTATTTTTGATGTGCAGAGTGACAATCCAAATCTTGATCTAAAAATCCCCAGACTGCAAAACTGACATTAATGAATAGACGATGAATCTCATTCTTTTCTTACTCCACCTACATCAAATTGGTGGCACCTTACTAAACTTCTAACAATTTAAAGTAAACTGCAAAGATCCGGATGACCAAGAGATACCAAAAACTCTAAAGCTGGTGGAATGTTTGCAGCAAAGGTATGAGTGTCCTAATCTCCAGCAGGTGGCATCAAATCCACCTTCCTAGCCAAAGCCCTTCCAAAAGCCTTGGACTACAACTCCCACCATTCCTCAGCCTGCATAACCAATAGTCATTCTGTGGGCAGTACTGGTGGGGGTTGTAAGCAAGCACATCTAAGGCACCAGGTTGGGGGAAATATGTGTTAGCTGGTCCCGCATTGTTCACAAGGCGGCCACAAGCCTCCACAGCACCAGATGGATCACAGCTGATGTGGACTTGCTTCGAAGAGCAATCATGAATTGACCCGGGCTTATTTCAGGATCCAATGGATCATTGAACAAATCGATCCAGAGTTCTCACTTGAGGCACAAATGACCAGGCTCAAATTATCCCACCTCGGACACATTATGTGAGGACCTGGATCGCTGGAGAAGGCTGTAATGCTGGGAAGGAAAGAGAAGAAGGGGATGACCAGCAGCAAGGGGGACGGGCCAAGTTACAGCGGCAACGGGTGCAATGCTGGAAGCCCTATCTATGTGTCGCTAGGAGTCGTAAACGACTTAATAGCACACAATTAACCAATTAATCTTTCCAGAATCGGCCCATGCTAGAGAACCAGGGGCTAATCCATGTAAACGGGACGGGACGGGACGGGATTCCGGCTGGTCCGAGCTCTCTGCATGGCGGCTCCGCATCCAAGGGAGGGGTGCAGCGACGGCTCTCCCTCTGGGGCGCCCGGAGGTGGCCCTCCCTACATCTGCAGGCAGGAAAAGCTGAAGCCACCAGCGGCACCGAATGGCCAACCCAGCCCCGAAGACAAGCCCGAGGAGACGTGCTTCTCTGACCCACTTTCCTGCGGCTCGCCCAGGGGGCTCCACACCTACCTTGCCTCTCCCCGCTCGCCCCTCGGGAGAGCAGCGCGGGACCACGGGGGAGGCCGGGAAGCGCAGCGCCCACTTTCGCGCACAAGGCTCCTCCCGGGTCCGCAGCTGAGCGCTTCCCCCCCGCCCCGCCTTGCGACCACAAGATCACCATCAGGGGGCCAACCCCTCCTCTCTCCGCCAATGGCATCGGGCCCTGGGCGATGACATCATCTCCTCCTCCTTCGAGCGACCAATAGGCGGACTCCGTCCGGTTCCCCGCGGAGCAGCACCTGTCAAGGCGCTTAAAGCAGCAGCCGGGCGGCGAGTCGGGGGCCTCTGCAGTCGCGAAGGGAGAGCTGCTGTCGTCGTAACGAGATTGTATTTCATCCTCCATTAAAAACGTCCGGGCAAAACGTTCCCGTTGCTGTTTAACAGAATCCTCGTGTCTGAGCCCAAAACGCCGCGGGGAGCGCATAAGCCATTCTTTCCCACCATGTTGCCCTGCAGATTCGTTGAATGTATTTTATTTTTTTTTAATTCTCTGCCGGGTTGGGAAGATGTGAAGGGCATAAGATTGAGTAGGGATCGGGAAGACTGAGTAAGGGTGCATAAACACTGTCTCCAGCAGCCTTTGCTTAAATTAACATCTCTCTCGTGCATATAAAAGTAGAATCTGCATTTTGCTGTGTGGCTGCCAAATAAGCCTTTGCTTGACATGAAACAGCTGTTCAAGCATCAAGTTTGATAGGTAAATATGAATTTGGATGAATTTGTACCTCAGTTTCAATAGCAGAAAGATCTTCCTAACCAAGATGGGCAGGGGAGAATCCCATTCAGGGAGGTCACTGAGAAACCGCTGAATGGACTTTTTTAAAAAGTGAAGGAAGATCAGCAATTGCATCTCCCCTAGAGGAAGAATCCTGTAGGTGTAGGAAGCTGCACTGGGAGGCTTTGAAAGCCCTCCAAATATGGGCCAGTTTTCCAGCAGAATGAGTCACCATACCCAGATTGAGAGGGAACTGAAATACTTAAAGCCTACTTTGATGACAAGCAAAATACAATTATGAAAAACTGCTGATTTGAAAAAGGCAAGAAGTTGTCTTCTTCTGAGAAAACTAATCTGTCTACAAAAGAGGATAAGAAATCTGGTGTTCTCCAAATATTTTAGTCTGTAATCCCCATAGCTCCAGGCCTTTGTCCATGCTGGCTAGAGGTGACAGGGAGCAAATCAGTTGGAAATTATCAAGTTGTCTACCTCTCTTTGACTTGCCCCAGGGTTTCTCAACCTCAGCAACTTTAAGATGTGTGGACTTCAACTCCCAGAATTCCCCAGGCTGGCTCCACAACTATTTACCCAATAGTTCTTCAACACAGATATACCATTCCTTCTACTTTTCACTGGAAATGCAACGTACAAACTGAGAACTTTATGAGTGCAATACTGTACTATTACCTTACTGGCTACTAAGCTGAAAATCAGAAGAAGTCTGGTAGCACCTTTTCAGACTAACAAATTTTTATTAAAAGCCATAAGCTTTCATGAGCTGCAGCTCTCTTCATCAGATGTGTGAAATGATGAAACCACAGTTGATCTTAGGTTGCCATTGACAAACACAGCTCTCCTCCTGCAATGGCTACTAAACTGTAACTGTTCATCTGATACACTGAGCCATAAACCAGCAAACCACTTTTAGCCTAGAATAGTGTGTAAACGTAGCCTGTGTAGTTAGTTTATGGTTCAGCATAACATACAAAGCCGGAATATTCAACTGAGTAAACCGTGGATAAGCACATTGTGAAAATATTGCTAGAGTTCTCAAAGAAAAAGGAATACAGACCAATCACAAAAAGATTTCTACAACTAAACTGGAATGTAAATTGTCTCCAGTTCATATCTACATACTCGGTAAATGTGTGTACACCAGTGTGTTTGAAGAGCTCCATCATATGAAGTACTGTTCTTCTGGCAGTAGTACAGCAAAGTACAGATTCTACATTTATATGCATCAGAGAGAGAGAGAAAAAACTTAAGATGTACAGATTAAAAAGGGAAGTGTGGGAGGGGACAACTGAAGCTTGTGGTATTTTAAAGACTAACACAATTATTGCGGCAAAAGCGGAACCGAAGATTCTATCAGTTGTGTAACAAAGCAAACAATATCATATTTGCTCGTATTTTGTGCCACCCGAGTCTATTGTAACATGAACTGAATCATTCCCCTGGAAACATTATCTGAAGAGATGCCTTTCCTTGCTCTGGTGTCTGAACGAGGTGATAATGACTTTTTAAAATTAATAAAAAGAAAACCTGAGAAACAGGAACATAATCAAGTAGAGACCGAATAGAGCCTCTTTTCCTTTAGAGTGCTTGCTTCACACGGACTGTTGAAATGGTACCACTTTGCTTATCAAAGGGTATTTCTAATGATAAATTAAAGCTTGCATGGGGAATTCTGGGAGTTGAAGTCCACTCATCTTAAAGTGGGGAATTCTGGGAATTGAAGTCCACTCATCTTAAAGTGGCCAAGTTTGGACAACACTGGTTTAAGCAATGAATTGATCTTATCGATATCTGTAATAATATTGTTCAGTCTTTTCATTGTAGGGATAAAAAGCCAGTTCAGTAAAACATCGGGAAGGTCAGTGGGGAATCGCTGGGAAAATACAGAGGGCAGGCAGGGCAGCGGGATGTGCCTTGCTAGGGCAGGGGTGGCAGTGCCAGCAGGAAGATCAGTGGGAAGACATTCTCCTTAGCCTCTGCATGCAGCGCGGCTGGGCACGTAGGCTGGATTTTTGGGGAGGACTTGAGCCTTTCCAACTCTCTTAGAGCTGGTAGCCTGATTCCTCCTGTGCATCCCTGTAACAACAGATGGAGGTGGTGGACAAGATGGCAGCTACAGAGCTGAATCCAGCCCTCTTGAAAGGACCAAGTTCAAAGCATCCTGTTGCACGTAATCAAAATGGTGGACACTGACAGGCTTTGTATAGGTGGGCAAAGGACTCTTGATTTAAGGGATCTTTGGCTTTTATAGATATCTCCCCCCACTCCATTGAGATGTTAGTATAATTGAAAACCTTTTGTTAAAACCTAATGCATATATACAAGATGAATATATATAGTCAGAAGTAAATATTACTCCATTCAATTGTTGAATTGTTCTAACTAGAGCAGGGTTCCTCAATCTCAGCAACTTGAAGATGGGTGGACTTCAACTCCCAGAATTCCCCAGCATGGCTGGCTGGGGAATTCTGGGAGTTGAAGTCCACCCATCTTCAAGTTGCTGAGATTGAGGAACCCTGAACTAGAGGATTGCAACAATCTCCTGTAATCTTAATTCTGAAATTATTTTTCATACTTCAGCTTACATTAGCTTTTTTCAGTATAAATAACACAAAAGCAGGATGTCAGTATCTTCAGGACATGACTGTTGATTTGGGATGTGGCACTGAAGGCTGCCCCAAAATTTACCCCCAAAGAACTTGTTAGAGAACAGAACAAAATAGAATTAGATGTCCTGGTAAAAGATGACATCTTTCTCTCTTTGTTTTGTCCCATCCTGTCCTGAGGATAAAAGAATACAGAAAAAATAAATACAGAGAAACTAGGGTAGCCCCATGAGAGGGAACTTGGGTAGCAGGAGCATCTATCTGCATGTGTGTGAGAGAGAAGGTGTCAGAAAAGGTGAAAAGATGGTAGCCACAACTGTGTGATCAAAACCCTGCGCCTTTTTGACACATCACACAAGCACAACATAATGAAAAGGGGTGTGGCTTCAATCACTTCCATCATCTTGACTTTTTTGACCCCCCCTCATGGATGTCCCTGAAAGTGAGCTGCAATCATTCCAAATCCTAAAGGTTTCCTCCAGAGATCCATATGGCTCCCACCCTGGTGACATTCTGAAAGGTATTAAAAAAAACCCATCTATTTTCTCAGGCCTTGGGGTAGGGGACTTGGTGAACCCTGTAAGATTTTGCTCAATGTTATGGTTTTTCTTTTTCTGGACACAGATCTCTTTCTCCTTTGATTGTTCTAGCTTTTTTCGAACATAAAGTGCTCAGTGTGGTTGGGACTCGAGCATTCTTTCCATTTCTCTTCCATTCTTTCCATTTCAATTCTTTCAATTTATGTAAAATAAATAACTAAATGTTCATTTGGTTCAACCTGATGGAGAAACAGTTCGGCCCACTCTTTACTCTGGAGAATTCCACCACTCTTACAGTTTGCTGTGTATGTTTCCATGGAATGACGGAACAAAATCCTGCCCCACCTGAGTTTTAAAATTATTTTATTTGAAAAATAAAAAATAAAAGAGATGCAGACATGCTGTTAAAAACAAACTCTCTGACTGAAGCAAATAGTCCTTCTTTCCAACTATGCTTTGAGGCTCCAGAAATGCCCCAGAAGCATTTTCAGGAAATAAGAAGGTCAGGAGTTTTATTTGAAAAGAGGATCCTGAAAGAAAATGCTGGCTGGGGAATTCTGGGAGTTGAAGTCCATACAGCTTAAAGTTGCTAAGGTTGAGAAACACTGTTCTAGTCATTTTGTGACACTATCCATAACATGAATAAATTGCTCTCACACAATTTAATGTATTTAGTATTAATTGACCTTATTTACAGCCTGTTTCTTCTGAGAGGACTATTGTGCTCTTAGATCAGTTGTCTGTATGTGCGGTACTTCATCTGACCTCTAGATGGCAGGATCTATATGTGTGTTTCATAGGGCTATCAATCTCCTGGGAAAGGCAATAGAAGAAAATAGATCGTTTGTCAAAGAAACAGAGGATTGATAGACCTATGTCAACTCTCCCCTTCCCCCAGAAAGTCTGCTTAAGTGATCAGAAGAGCTAATTTGAAATATAAAACCCCAAACCAGAGCACTCTCCCTGCTATGGTGCTTCTGGAATTTTTTTTCCTTTCTCCCTCTTGAAGGCAGCTTCCCCCATGAAGACCAGGTGTCCAGTCTGTCCTCCAGTCAAAGCCAGAAGGGTCATGGAGGCCCAGTGCCCAGTGACTGGGCAGGGAAGGAGCAGATTTGCCAAGACAGCTAGAGCTGAGCTGATCACTCTCACTGACTAATCATCCCTAAGGTCTTCCCTGATAAACCCTAAATTGTCCCCATGGAAAGTTTTGTGTCAGGAGAAGAAGGAAAACATCACTTCCAAACTGAAACAACTAAAGATGGTTCTAGGGTGCCTCAGCAACAGTGAAAGAGGTGGAGGTGACATGAGGAGATATCTCTCAAAAACATTTAGTAAAGCGAACACTATAACAAGCAGGATGTAATGGAAGGCCCGAGCAGGGTAGGAGCTTCAAGGTTGCCAGGAGGGAGGAGAGACATTTCAGGGGAAGCACCTCCTCAGTCCCCAGCCAGAGTGTGGGAAAGTCAAGAGAAGGAGACTGGCCCCTCCCTAAGGGCATCTTGATTATAGTTGCTGTTGTTGGGGAATAGAATTAGTCTGGTGAGATTCTGTCTATTAGGTGTAAGCTAATAAAGGAGCTGAACTGATTCTGGAGTGTCTCGCTGTTGTTCTTGGGCTGAACCTGACACAGGATGTGAGAATGAGACCCTCATGAAAGACTGGGTTTCTCTTGGCACCTTTCTATTTTAAACAAAGGCTGTGCAAAGCATCTGAAGAAACCTTCTGGAAACTAAAGAAAACATCCCTCCAAACCTGATGAGGTGGCCGTATCTGTCCAAAGCTTGGTGTCACCATTCTGAGAGGCTTTCCTAATCTTCTGAGATGCGAGTGCATACCTTGAAGACACTTTCATCAAAACTAAGCCATGCCAAGCCTTCAAGGGACATGGCTGCCTTGATGCTCTGAGCAGCTAATTCAGAGGGATTGATGGTCATTTCATGAAGTGCTGTGCACAATTCTAGTTTCAGTATTTCTAATCTTTATCATTATTGCATTGAGTGTGCCTCTGCAACTATCTCAGAGCACAGAAATCAGAATGCAGATAAAAATTTTATCAGGCCAATGGCCCAGTTTCCTCTTTCCCCAAATCACAAGCCAACCAAGCAGTGGCCTCTAGAAGCTCCAAAGCAAGGCATGAAGGTGAGAGACCCACAGCTTTGGGTACCTGAAGACTCACTGCTACTGTAGATCCTCCATTCTGGATGTACGGGCGGTCTCCATTCTTCTAAATACAGTAAATAGTGGCTGGTTACCATTCAATAATATGATGACAAATTCCTTACCTCCACCAGCCACTTAAATAGGCACCTATCACTTGAACCCCTGTGCTACACAAGTTCCCATACACGGTTCAGCCTTGTTATACCATCACAGGTCCCTTTCCAAATTACAGGAACAGATTGGCCACTCTGACTTTGGAGCTGCTTGTTGGAAAACTAGTATGGAAATGTTTTGTCAGTGCACTCAGATGAACTTTTACAAGCTCTCTTCTGAAAGTCTTGTTCCTCAAGCGTGGCGACGGAACGCCTGGTCCCCTTTCTCTGTTCATCCTCCAGCTGGGGAAGCAGCATGCACAGGCTCTACTAGCTGGGGTGCTTTTGCTGGCACTCCCACACTGCTTGTTCCAGGCTCTCGCTGATGCACTCTGCATGTCTCCTGAGGCTGCCCCTCTGTTTGTGTCCTACCCTGGGGCCAGCCAGTGCCAGCAGGAAGTTAAAGAGCTGAGAGGGCAGAGGATAGACAGGCACCGAGCGGAAGAGGGCAGGGATCTCACTGACTGGAAGGAGCTCCTCAAAACAGCCAACCATATATGTGGCTCTGGGCTCGTCAGCCAGAAAATCAGGCAGGATGCAGTTGAGGGAGGCCAGGAATGTGCTGTCTGGTTTGAAGGCAGGCTGAGGGTCTTTCTGTATCCAACCTAGCCATTCTGCACAACTGGCCACAGCACCATGGGAGAACAGCAGCACAACAGCTCCGCCCTCTCGCAGCACCAAGCGTCGCTGTGCGTGGAACCACTGCATGGGCCCCAGAGATCCCAGCTCTCCACGGCTCCATAATTCCAGAGATACAGATAGCTGCAGCTGAGTCAGCGCACTTGCCAGGGTGCCCACCACACACTCATAACCTTCATGATCCGGAGAGTAGAGAAGGAGGATATGTTGTCCCTGAAGTGCTCCTGCATCAAGAAAGAGAGGGATCAGATGCTCCATAAACAGTAATAAATCTTCCTACCCCAGATCTCTCTTTTTTGTTTCTAGTCCAGCACCTTCAAGTGACTCTCTCTCTCTTATTTGCACTTGGATGCTTTGTCATCCTTGCAAATTCTACACATCAAAGATCAAATTTTTCATCTTACCTTCCCAACTCTCCTCTTTATCTACTGCTGAGTTCCCGAAGGGCAACCATGAAATTTGCATTCAAAACCATCAAGGTTTCAGGGGCATCTTAATGACTGATCTATATGGATCCATAAAAATTTGTGATGATATAGTTGTTAGGGGTCTTTCAGACAATTCGCCTCTCAAACCTTCTGAATTCACTCAGAGAAAGTGAATCGCCCATCTTAAGTATTTTCAGATGTATATGTGTGAGACTCTAGCACTCACTGAGAAGCACCAACTAATCAACACTTGGTCTTTCTAGCCAACAGCTGAGCACAGAGGACTCTTGTCTAGCCAATCAGTGCTTGCTTTTTGGCTGATAACTGAATGCTGCATCCATTCCACTCACATCTGTGCTAAACATCTATGCTTTCTGCCTCTTCTCAAAAAGTAAAAGCGAATACAGGTAGTCCTCACTTAACGATGGTAATCAGGACTGAAAACTCCATTGCTAAACAACGCGGTCATAAATTGAAAAATCACATGACCTCGCCAACATATGACAACAGTTACAGCAGCTACGATTGTTGTCATTAACCAAATCACTGCAGGTCATTAAGCAAGGACCTCATGTGACGACTTGCAACTTTCTGCTGGCTTCCCCACTGACTTTGCTTGTCAGCAGCCAGCAGGAAGCATTGGAAAATGTGATCACATGACCGTGGGACATTATAATGGCTGCAACTTCAAGGACCAGTCATAAGTCCCCCTCATTCATCATAACTTTGAACGGTCACTGAATGAGTGGTTGTTAAGCAAGGATTATCTGTGCCTTTGATAGGATTCTCCTTGTTACTGTGCTCAACATAGTAGCAAACCTCCGTTGTCATCCAGATTCCAGTGCTAGTGACTGGAGGAATGCATATGGACATTTTTTTTCCTAATCATGCCAACAAGAAGCAAGAAGGTGGAGTAAGACAAGAATGACATCCAATGAGAACACAGACTCCTCTTTCAAGCACATGGCAATGAAGTGAACTCCATTCAGGGCAGAAATGAAAGGGTGAGGATTAGAAAAGGCACAGAAAAATCTGGAGGTTCAAGAGAGTGATGACAAGAGACTCCCCAAGAAAGAGTTATTGCCATAGTTTATCTCCCAAATACTACCACAGCCTCTGTTGCCTTTACCTCTGGAACTGTAATCTTCTTTCAGGGCCTTGAACCAGCCTGTAAATAGAGGAAAAAACATTAATGGGATGGGGACAGTCCACTCACTACCAAGCCTAGTGTGTGCTGTGGGTGAATTCTGAGTTGGAAGAATGAAGTATGGCTTCTGTAGCAAATGAACAACCCCCCTGCCCCCACCGCACACACACTCAGGCTTGGCAGGGCAGATCCTTCCCTTCTTCACATTCAACCAGACAGCAAATATACATATCCCAGGTGCCAGAGCAAACAGGCAGGAAAATCCATCATGACTTCAAATGCAAGCCCACAGATGGGGGATGATCCACAGCCCCTCCCTTTTGGCTAGAGAGAACAAAAGCTTTGGTCTTGTGGGAATCCTGGCCTCCAGAAGAAGGAAGAGGCCCTTCTTCTGAAATCTTGCCAAGAAAACTGCAGGGACTTGTCCAGGCAGTCACCAGGAGTCATGACTGTCTCTTGTGATGGTGTTAATGACCAGCTAGATCAGTGTTTCTTACCTTTTTTCTCTCAGGGCCCCTCCCTACTTTTAAAAATTATGGACGACCCCCCCCAAAATTTTGGTTTGTATGGGTTATATTTATCTTTTTGTTGTTGTTGTTGATGCATTCAAGTTATTGTTAACTCCTGGCAACTGCCCGGACAAGTCCCTGCAGTTTTCTTGGCAAGATTTCAGAAGTGGTTTCCCTTGCCTCCTTCTTCTTCCTACGGCTGAGGGGGACTGGCCCAAGGTCCCCCAGCTGGCTTTGTGCCTAAGGTGGGACTAGGACTCACAGTCTCCCAGTTTCTAGCCTGATGCCTTAACCACTACACCAAACTGGCTCTCTCTATATTTACTGTATTAAAAATTAAAATTGATCCATCTGCTGCCATTACCACTTCTCATGATTGTTTGATGGGATTTTAATATTGTACTATTTTTCAACATAGGCTGGCAAATAATTTTGATTTCATGGACCCCTGAGAGAGTCTTGGGGGACTCCAGGGGTTCTAAGACCACACTTTAAGAATCACTGAGCTTGATCATTAACAGCAAAGGCTGCCATATCGCCAGTTTTCTAGGGCCTTTGATCCAAAGCAAACCTTTGAACTTGGCTTGGTTGCCAAATAGCAGCCATTGCAATTGCTTGAGAAGAAATATAACATCTGCTAGACATTAGGAAAACATTCAAGGAAATACAGGACTTCCGGGGACAGCAATGGCAGACCGACCATGATGGAAAGAGGAGGCAGTGAATGGATCGGCTACTCTCAGGACTACTCTCCAGATCAAGGAAAGGACAAGGATCACCCACAAGTTTGCTCCATAGAGAATCCCCCTGTGAAGAGATCATAAAATAGCGATCTCCAGTGGGTCTGAGAGTTCTGGGAGCTGGGGGAAAACAATTCTGCCTAAGCCACAGTTTGGCGCTTTTCAAAGACACTGGGTTCACCTACTTCCTCTCTTAATTACTTTAGGAAGCTGCTTTTTACTGATTTCTTAGAAGTTAAGAACCTTCCAAAGAGCAAGGTTTATTACACTAGGAGAATCTCCTTCTACCTTGGATGAGAGAAGCTTCATCTAAGTGTAAAGACTAAAAAGAAAATATTTAATTTTTGGAAAACAGCAAAAGGGAGAGTAGAATGTGGATTTTGGAAAGTTAAGGGGCTAGATGGACTTGAAAGAATATTTCCTGTGAAGTGTTTTAAAATTTATAAAAAATATATGAAGATTTTGAAATTAATTGTAAGAAATCCTCCTATGGGTATTGTTGACTGGAAAATAAACATATGATAAGAGGGGACTTGAAGGTTGACTAGAGGGAACCAGAAAGAATAAACAATTACAATTAAAGAAGAAGAGACCTATTAATACAATGGAGCTATTTAACTATAGAAGAAATTAAGGCTGTTTGGGAACAGTGTACTCAGAAATTACTTACAAGATTGATACAATAAAAGAGGATATAGAAGAACAACAGATTTTACTGGATAAAAGAGAGACTGGGATTGATTTGAATGTGAATTTGGAGTTTAAAAAAATGCTGGATTGTAAAAGTGATATGGAAAATATGTCAGAATGGATCTACAAATGAAACCAGCTGATGTCATAATAATTAAAGGAGACAAATAATAAATCAGAAGAGTGACT